GCCTGTCAAACCGCCGATGGTTTGTGCTGTTTGTGGCAGGGTTGTTACCCGGTTCTCTGTCACTCGCGGGCGCCCCTGAAACACAACGTGAGACAGGAACTTGACACACCTTTCCAAAATTAAATTGCACCTGCAATGGAGTGATGTACAATGATCTACATACATTGCGGGAATCCAAAAAACTCTTGAAACCAGTCGGACCGGTCCCGACTCCACTCTTACACAACCTGCATGTATGGGGGCTCGGCTCAGGCGCTGACGTATATTGAGATGAGATCGTCGGTTTGAATTCTGACATTTTTCCCACATTGTGTACAGCAGTCACACCCGCACAATTGTTTCTACTTGTTAAACAAGATAAAACAGCAAATGAAGTGGTGTGCAAAAGTATGACAACAATAGCCTTCGGGCGTTGGTGATTTGAAGACATTTGAATATGACAATTCGCAATATCACTCCACAAAAGACAATACATAATAACATTTCAATTAGAGCACTGTCACAATGGTAAATTTTCAGCAACTCTCCTTTAAATGTTTCTTTAATTTAAAATCAGCGATGAGTTGTTTTTTTTTTTCCAACAATTATTATCTTGATGAACATGATTTGTTGGACATTAGACAGAGGAACGAGTCGAGGGTGGCACGGTGGCCGACTGGCCTTCACACCCAAGTCGTCCAAATCTGTTGACTTTGGCCAGCGGTCCTTGTTCCTCCCTCAGCTGCTCTTTGGCACACCCGAAAGTCCCTCAGTTGGGTCACATCCGTGCCACCGACCTTGATCGACTGGGACCTTAATGCTAGATACATGCGCGCCCATGTGCACGTTTGCAGATTTTTGATATCTTGCATAATTCAACATTTCATAGAGAGATGATAGTGATTGTAGGTGTGAATATCAATTGGGAAATCAAGTCCTTGAGAAAGCTATTTAAACAGGAAACTGACAGTTTTCATCTGTCACAAATAATTGCTGGACCAACAGAATTAGCAATTCCTCTTGCACACATTGATTTAATTTGTAGGAACATGTCAGGTATGACCATAATCTACCGTGATACACCTAACCCAATCCCTTAAAGATGCTCATCCATGTGCAGGAACCTGTTGGACGTGCCTTTGGGGAGCTCAAACTGGGACGGCCGCGGGAACATGGATTGGTAAAATTTCACCAACTTTGTTTGCACTTGCTGAGCAGTGCTTTGGGTGTGGTCAAGGTCATCGTTTATGTAGATGAACTTCCTGTTGGAATAAGTGCAGAAGCGATTCATTCCAAAGCCAAGAAGTGAATTGCTTTTGAATGCTTTGAGGGTTCTTATTACCTTGGACGTTGACGAACGTCATCAAATTTGCGATCTGCCTCAGCCACGTCATTGTGAAGCAATTTGAAATGTATCTCTTCCTTCCCCATGACCTGACTTGTCAGCAAAAGAAACGTGGTGATGTTGATCTCAACACATTGTCGGAGGAACTCTCACTTGTAATTTTTCTGGTCTGGAAAGGTACTGCGAATGCAATCTTTGCAGTTCATGATGAGTTCTTTAGTGACCTGACACTGTAGACGAGGAAACCATTGAATTTTTATCATGGACTGAAATGTTATTTGGACAGATGAAAAACTGCTAATTTAGGGTTTTTCTTATGACCCGAAATGCCGACCATCTTTTGGTCATGGTTGACCTCCTGGTTGGGTTTCAGCTCCCTGATATCACGTTGCGAGCAAATTGAGCAGTCGATCAACTGATTCTTCAACCTCGTCAAATATTAGAAGTAACCGCAGAATAACGGATGACTCATTCAATCCAAATTACTTTTGGCCATTCAATGTCTCATGAACAGACCACCTCGGGTTTGAATGGCTGCTTGTAGATTTTCACGGCCAGAGCTTCAATCTCACTTTCAGACAGAACGCCAGAGTGGTCCTTGTCAGCAGCGTCAAACACTTTTGAGATGTTAGCCTGCTGCTTGACGCTCATCAGGAAATAAAAGTAGGAAAAGGCATATTGCATGCCGTCTGATTGACGCCAACGGTGGCTTGAGGTCTTGCGAAATTCTTCTGGGAATCTGCAGAAACAAGAGCAAGGTATCCTCAGCGGTCAGCGCTCAAGAAGGCTTGAGGTTACAACTTGTGACCACTCACGCGTCCTGCAGCTCCTGCATTACAAGCTTGTCAATCATAAGCGTGTGAGATCGCCTTTCGGATCATGCCGCCAAACTTGAGATTGTACAGCCTGTTGACGTGTCTCAGTGCCTCAGAAAAAGTGTTTTGCAACTTTCGGCCAAACATGGCACCATTCGTCTCAAACGTTAGTGCTCTTTGTCGGCGATCATCTTCCTGTTATACGAAAAGGAAACTGCACTGTCATGAAAATGTAAAATACTGCTCAGTCTTCATCCCCACATACCAATTAACTGTTAATGCTTGACAGTACAGTCGTACTTACCTCAAGCGATTCTTGAAAGTATTTGAGGAACCCCTTGTCAGACGGGACAAACTCTTGGAGTGACATTCCCAAATAAGCCTCATTCTCATTCGAGGAGTTTGCTGGTTTTTGTGTCAGGCTTGACTTCTGGCTGTTTGACTGAGTCTTGTGAGCTTGAAATAAACCCCCCTCACCAGCGCTTCTTATAGACCTGCGGTTTCTGACTTCACAAGTCCAAAAAGATGTACAATTTATTTCAAGGCAGAAGAATCAAGTTGCGCACCACAACTGTTGTTGAACGCCACCTTTGCAGTCTCCTCCGTCCCATTGGCAGGCGGCATTGTTACACTCCCGATTACACTGCCCGTTATTGATCCTGTGTGCTGGAAAGCCTTTTGAACAGGCCGCTAAAGCCCACTCGAGATAGACCTCGGGGATGGAAAAGAACAGTTGCATTTGTGTGTTGTCACACAGAAATCGAGGGAGCAAAATCAATCAGTTCATCTGCAACAAATCAATTTTCAAATGAATTGACAAGGAACCGAATGATCACCAAAAGGTTGAGTGAGGGCGACATCAATGCCTTTGATATAACGTTGCTCAATTATGGTTGAGTTAGTGTTCCTTTTGATCACGAAACAAAAGCTAATAAACGTCCAGACTGGGTGAATTCGCAGGGATGGGGAAAATGATTTTGTCAGACACTTGATTGCAAATAAAAGTTTTTCCGGACTATTCAAGTCATTCAATGGAGTAAGTAAATCATATTTGAAAGGGACAGCCCTGGTTGGTATCGTGGTCAACTCATAAGCATGTCCGGTTTGCAGCGCAGTGGTCTCGGGTTCGAATCAGGCTCCGGCCTTACTATGTGGCGTTTGTTCGTTCTCCCCGTGGATGCGTGGATTTTCTCTGGGGACACAAGCTTCCTCCCAAATTCCAAAAACATGCACGGCCGGTTGATTGAATGCTCTAAATCCCTCGTGTCAAAGTCAAGGCCCGGATACCAGATCCGGCCCCCCACATCATTTTATGTGGCCCGCAGGAGCAAATCGTGTGTGTCAACTAACATGATCTTGCTGAAATCTTTCCTGAAATGTCAAATTGTCATGGGTAGTAAATAGCGTTGAGATTTTGCACTGGCCCTCTGAGGGAAGCCGTAACTCCGAAGTGGCCCACAACAAAAAATGAGTTTGACACCCCTGCTCTAAATTGTTCCGAGGCGTAATTGTGAGTGTGAATGGTTATTTGTCGGTATGTGCCCTGTGATTGGCTAGCAAGCGGTTCAGGGTGAACCTGCCCGAAGACAGCTGGGATCGGCTCCAGTATACCTAAGACCCTGATGTGGACAAGCGGATCAGATCATGGGTATATCGATGAATGGAGGTACGGCCCTCCACAGAAGTAGGAGTCCATTTCTGTTGCGCAAGGCAGGATCTACGTGAATATGCATTGGTGAAGGCTGGTTCCTTGGGGCGAGACAGTGTGTCCCAATCTGTTCAAAGTGCCCAAACAAAACTTGGAGTTGACCACGCTCGTGAAAAATAGGGGAGAATGGTATCCGTTTGATTCTCAAAGATGATGCTTGTCTATTTTGCTTACTTTCTGCCCATCGGTTGGGGTGTAGAAATCGTCCAGCCATGCGTCTTTGCCAAACATCATGTCATCGTTGAGGTAAAGGAACTTTTGCGAGATGCCGGGGATGCGGTGGAGGTGGCTTTCGATCAGGAAAGATTTCCTAGAAATCAGAGGAGATGCAGGACCTTTACATTTGACAGAAGTGATCCGAACGCGTCCCCACACACAAATTGTTGTCAACGAAGAGAAGACATTCCAAGACGCACAATCACTGAAATAGATCCTATCGCAGAAACGCTTCCTGCATTATTTTCAGTGTGAGAGGCTGCAATGCTACCTTCTGTGTGACAATTGAAACACGGGAGTTTTGCTGGTTGAGCCAGGATGGAATCTGCCCGTTCGTGACGATGTAGACGTGTCGCACCCACGGCGCATGTTTCTCCATGGAGCGTAAGGAATAGAGGAGAGCACCGTTCTCCTCGAAGCGGTTGGCTGTGAGACAGTCCCAGGTCTCTTTTTTGGGAGGGGCAGGCCGCTTCTGTGAAAACTAAGGAAAAAGGTTCGTCAGTGTGAGAGAGGTTCTAATGTTGCATCATGTCAATTTGCAGGTGTTGTAGTGTCGTACCACCTCTACGATGGCCCTCATATCCCAGAACAAGTACACAGGACTGATGGCCAGCTTCTTCCCATCCAGTTTCGTCTGCTACTTTTCGCCAATTGCAGGAGAAAAGTGAAGTCCTGTGGTGTTTTAAGGTCGAGCAGAGCGATGCCGGCATCCGGGTACAACTCAAACTGAGGAACACATTTTCAGACAAGTCCATGTGTCACGTTCTTGGTCAGAAAACAACTCCTCATCCGAAACAAACTTTACCGCAATTATTCTGCTCTTTACGGTGGGCAACAATTTGTCTCGCAGCATCTCTGATAGTTTGTAGGACTGTGGGAAGCCAGTCAGGAAGGCCAAGGTCTCCATTTGAATCAGACCTGGCGCCTCTTTGTCTGTCGTCTGGAAAGCACAAGAGCCATGTTGTGACACCATGCTGAGACATGACATAAGCTCAGGAGCATGTCCATGAGAAACTAAATTCACCAGGTAGCAATTGGAGATTGAGAATTTCTCGATTTTGAGCGTGCCTGCCAAGGCCTCTTCAGCTGGAATACAAACAACCAAGAAGAGACACGACATGGACAGCAGCCGTGGCGTAAATATAGCATGAATATTTCTTGGCCCACATCATCCTGATGCAGAGATTTACCGTTAGCTCGTGAATGGAAGACCACCACAGAGACAGTGTTGGAGGGTTGCAGGGGTTTGGTGAACAGCAGCAGGGCCTTGGCAGCCGAAAAGGAGGGCAAGACTGAGGGTAGCGCTTGAGTGGTCATATTGTCTGGAAGGCCAGGATCAAGCACCACCATGGGTGCCACGATGCATTGAGACAGCGGGCATTCTGGCTTGACATTGGAAACAAGAAAGAAAATCTGTTTTTGTCTCCTTGATGAAAAAGTAGAAAAATGAGTGTTTTCCGTTGGTATTAGCGCCTGCAATAAGCATCTCCCCGGTTTGGAAGCGCGTCGCCTTTTCGTGTTCTTATACGTACGTCAGGCGCATATTCAGGGCAGCGTGAGAGGCGTACATTTGGGTACGGCCAGCCCTGACCTTGGGTATTGTCCACTCATCCACATCCACAATGCCCTGTCCGGCCTTTGGTTTTGCCAGATACGCACTTATCCCCTATCGTTCACCTTTTTTAATGCGTTGCATGCGGTGCATACATGCTCTCCTCTCCTCACCCACCTCCGAAGTGCTTCTTCTGCATCCAGTTGCTCTTTGGCCACCATCAGGTCCTTCTGTAGGCTCACGTCTGTGCCATTCACCCACGTGTACACCACATCGATGGGAATGGGTGTACACTCTCTGACAGAGAAGAAGAAATCGAGCCACTTGGACGATGTCAATGTGAAGGGAGCTCTTCTTGTGGTTTATACTTGTTGAATCATGTTGACAGCACTCACTGACATTCTTGTTGAAGTGCACTATTCAGTGGAGTTGAGAAAACGCCGTGGGCTGATTCCTCACCTGCTGTAGAATGATGTACATTTATCCACCTTCTTGTCTTCTTCGGGAACCTCATTCGACTGGTGAGACCAGGCCTCACTCTGCAGTTTCTCTAGCTGCACACATGAGTCACGTCTGCTGACGACTTGCATTGTTATCAATGTTCCCTCTAATTGTTTTTGTGTCTGGGCAAACACACAAACACCCTGAGCGGTCCCATGGACCACTGTGAGCAACATGCGCCATGCAAATTGTGGTCACGCAGTATCATATGCATCATATACATTCAAGTTACATGTTTTAATTAAAACAATAAAATTATGGCAATAGTTTCTATCAAATGACTTCTTTATTAAGTGTGTTTGTCCAATTTCAGAAAAAACTCAAAAGTCATGTAACCAAAAGTGTAGCATATTAACATAGCTGTTTTAACAATGTTTTGTATAAATTATGGCAAAACTTGAACTGCCATGAACTGCAATGTGACAG